ACCGCCTGGGGCCCCTCTCCCCGGCTGGCTCAGCCTGATTGGCTCCGATCGGGGCGGGCCGGCCGGACCCCACCTGTGCATGAATTCGTGCACCGGGCCTCTAGTAGTAGATAAGACCAGTGTTAAGGGCTATAAAGAAAAATAAATTGGAATAAGAGGCCCAGAGGGACAGAGTTGGGGAGCAGCTAGTGGTATTCAGGGCCTCTCTGAAGAGGAGATTTTGAGATGGGTCTCCAGTGGGTGAATCCTGGAGGAGGCCCCTGGGCACCTGAGGACCAGCCGCTTAGCTTAGGCTGACAGGGGCAGAAGGGGCACCCAAGAGAGCCCCTTGTTCCTCAGCCCCTAAGAGAAGAAAGAAACCCAATATTTATCATTCACCATTGCGGTCTGGCATTCTGTCAGCACCGTTCTCATTTAACGCTGACAACTCCCTATGAGATGTAAAGTATTATCTCCACCTTGTGCAGGGAATAGAGGAGGTTCAGAGATAAATGGCAGCTGGCCAGTCCCCCCCCTGTTCCCCCCCCCCCATGCTTTCCGTTGCTCCCTCCCTTTTAAAAGACTTTGACCCCAAGTCACTTTCCAAAATGCCCTTGTGGAACTGGAGGTGACTAAGACTGGGGAGTGACTACTGTGACAGGGAAAAGCTCTCAGTTCCCATAGAGGCACCTATATGATCTTGGGGTGCGGGTGGGCCAGGCCAGCCAGGACTCGTGCCATCACGCTGCGGTTTGCAGCCTCCAGTACTTCCACAGACACCAGGCTGCTACAGCCGCAGCGCCCCTTCCTGGCGGCGGTGCCCAGGAGTGCAGGCCCGCCGGGGACCTCACCTCTCCTCTGCCTGCCTTTCCAGGGAGCCACCTAGGTTGGGAGGAGAGGGGATCCCGAGCCACGCACACTTTATCCCCAGCTAAGCTCAGGGATTGCGAAGTAGATTAAGGGCATTCACTGACGAAGACGCCTACTTAACCTGGATCCCCAAAGATCCGGGCTGCACACCAACAGAGGCGCGGGCTCCCGGCCCACCGGGCGGGGCAGGGCCCCCTTCTTCGCTGCAGAATTTCTTGCCTTGTTATCCGCACCGCCACCAGGGGGCGCGCCGGGGTCTGGGGATGGAGAGGCTGGCAGGCTTGGGGCGCCTTGGTGTGTCCCACTGATCTTTGTTGCTCACCAAAGTGCTTACCCTGGGCAGGCTATCGGCATTCCCAGGACGCTATCTCTACGCTGGGCAGTTGAAAGAAATCTTGTTCAATGAACTCCTGGCCTCAACCACCCCACGCTCTGCCCCCTCCTGCCTCCAGGTTGCCCAGCTTTCTAGTGGCCTCCAGGGAACTCGCTGGAAGCCATCTGCGGCTCCTATGGCTCTTAGCAGAAAGTTCAGAGCCCCTTTCTGCAGGTCAGAGAGCGTGGGCCCCCACGCGCCCGCTCCGTGCGGCTCTCCGCGTCCTGTGAGGCCTCTGGCCTTGCGCGCCTGCTGCTCCCCTCGCCTGCGGCAGCGTTCCCTCTCCCTCCATCCCCAGGCTGGTCCCGGCCCCCAGCACCGGCAGCCAGCGACCTGTTCCCAGTGAAAATGAACGGCGCGACGCTTGATGGGAGATCTCCTCCTCCCTCCGCGCGACAGACGGGGAGCCCCCTGCGGGC